CTTTTTTTTTTTTTTTTTTGGCTATTGTTGCTTTTGCTTTGGCTTACTTTTTTTTTTGTTTGTTTGAAAAGAATTAAATTTTGGCCTCAACAATCAGCTCAAAAATTTTCTTCATTAAATTATCGCTTCTGTACAGTTCTTTAAGTGTTTCCTTTTTTTTGTTTTTTTTTACTGGTTATTATTTTATAATTTTTAATATTTGTTCTCTGACTTTATTTGATGTGTCTTTTCAGAGTTATAATTCACACATAAATGAATGATATTAAATGTGCTGTTGTAGCAAATAATAAAGTGCCGTATCTATAAACATTTTTACCGTTCATAATTGGTATGTATGTTAATCGAATTATATGCAATGTTATTTGGTTGGTACTGTTCAAATGCTAAAACTGTGAATAGCAAATCAATAAAACTATACTGAATAATCTGAAAAAAGTAAAAAAATTATAGTACTCTTTTTGTTTTTCAGCATCAAAGATTAAGTTTTAGAAAACTTTCAGGCTAAGATAACTAAAAATAGTAGCAGACAAAGTCAGAAACAAAAATCTTACTATTTCTTTTTATTTTACTAATTTTTTGGCTATTATCTGTTCCCTCAGCTTTTTTGTTATGCCGGGAGAAGGGAGGAGGATTTCTTATATTTGTTTCTGTCTTTTTTTATTTTATTTGTTTAGCGAGATTTTTCCTTCTTCTTTTTTTTGCCGATATCTATTTGTTGTGCTGTTAATTTGGCTGTATAACCAATTGAGATGATGATATTTACTGCAGCTTCTGTTGTTATTGTTGCCGCTGCTAATGCTGCTACTGCTATCGGATGCTATGATGATTTTTTTGGTTTAATCTATTTTTTATGTTCCTCTTGTTGTTTGTTGTTGTTGTTCTAGTTTTTTGAATACAAACGATTAAATCTAAAAATAGTGAATGTTGGGTGATTAAACAATGACGGGCGTTTACAGGAATGGAGCAGGAAGTGGCACAACTGAGGTTTAATGCAGACAATTTAGCACATTGCCTACATTCATTGTTGGAAAGAATTGAACAGTTGGAAGGTACGGCAACAATGAATCGTCTGGATGCTACTTGCCAAGATGCTGTTACCAGATATCGTACAAAAACTCCAGATGAAGCTGTTGAAGAACTATTGAAGCGGAAAGTCAATACACACGGCTTAATTGACATCGAATTACCACGTTCTGATGAACAGGTGTTACGTC